ATCATCATCTGGACACCATCATCAACACCACCATCACCATCACCATCAACAACATCGTCAACATCATCATCATCATCATCGGGACACCATCATCCTCACCACCATCACCATCACCATCACCATCACCATCACCATCACCATCACCATCACCATCACCATCACCATCACCATCATCATCATCATCATCATCATCATCATCATCATCATCATCATCATCATCATCATCATCATCATCATCGGGACACCGACGGGACACCGGCGGGACACGGGCGGGACACCGCGGGCCACCGGCCCCCGGAAAAGAATCATTTGGTCCGGCCGCGCCTCAGCCGGAGGCGGGACGCTGACAAAACACCGCGGGCCACCGCGGGCCACCGGCCCCTGGAAAGGAATCTTTTGGTCCGGCCGTGCCTCAGCCGGAGGAGACTTTCTTCTCGCCCGCCCACGCAGCTTCGCCTCGCCCGCACGCACGGCACGCACGAACACGAAACCGAAACCGATTTCCTGGTAGGGGGGCTCTCCGTTCCACTTCGATCTCACCTCCTCACATCCGCGCGCCCGCGGGCGAATCGGGAGAGGGCGACGAGGAGGAGAAGGAGGGCGAGGAGGGGGGCGAGGAGGACGATGAGGAGAGGGGGGCGAGGAGGAGGAGGAGGAGGAGGAGGAGGAGGATGAGCGTCCACTATGGCGCTCAATTTCGCCATATTTGGCCGATGATCTTTGCAAACCTGGTGATCCCCGACGTTGTGCCCACATCACCCTCTCGAGCGGCAGCGAGAGCAGCGAAGACCATGATGGCATCAGAATTCCTACGATACCAAAAACAGCAGTGCAACCGTTCCGTGTGCGACGCTCGTGCGACTAATCACATGCCCATTGAGAAAGCTCCGCGGAAGGCGCACCAACGTGCGCGCGCGCCCGTGCTGGTGGCAACGATGCTGCGGCAATGACGACATCAACAAGGCAAAGGAGAGGCATGCCACGTTCAGAAGAAGGAAAGGAGGGAGGAAAACAGGAAAAGAGTGGGGAGGAGGAGAAAACGGGGAGGAAGGAACGAGACGGAGGAGGGAGTGGATAAGAAAAGGGTGGGGAGGATGGAGAAGCAAAAAGAGGCGACACGCGGATTTAGGAGAAAACGAATCGGCAAGCTAGGTGCGCGGGCCATAGCTGACATCCTGCGCTTCCCACCCATCCTTTTCCCATTGCGCAGGATTTTCTCCATCCGCCGATGGGTGTCCTAGCAGGCCTGGATCCCCGAAGTATCCCCATCGTCTAAATCAGGAAGGAAAGCTGTGCACCCAGGGACACGAGGAGGCGGCGGACGGACATGAGGATACGCAAGATGAGGGGGGCAGCGAGCCGATGAGCCCGTCCCCGAGAATCCTGCGATACCAACGGCCCGCAACCGCAGTGGCGCTCCCCGAGGCCGCCCCCCGCCAACCCGAAAACTGGATGGGCACGGTGTCAGTGCACCAAATCGTTTTTGGCGGAACCGAACGGCGTGGATCTGAACGCCCACTGGCCCGCCCGAGATTGGAGGTCCCTCCCCGAAGCGACGAAGAACATGTCCATGCCCGAGCAAAATAATGTCCAGCCCCTAACAAATATTGCCTGGGCCCGATTTTTCGCCATGGCCCGAACAAAAAATGTTGTCCGGACCCCAACACAGATTGCCCGGGCCCGAAACTATATTGCGCGCGCCCGCACGCAAAAACATATTGCTTGGGCCCGAAAAATATCCCCCCCCCCAGAAAATAGCGTCTGGGCCCTGCAAAAATGTGCATGTCCAAAAAACCATGCTGGAGCCCGACCAAAAAACGTTGTCCACGTCCTGGGGTGGCCCTGCCCGACATGAAAATGGGCCTCGCCACGTGGGAAAATGGGCGCGCTCGAGAATCGCCCATCCATTTCGAACTGGGCGCCGCCCGTGGAAAAATCTGGCTCGCCCGATATACTGCTGGGTCATACGCCACGTTTCCCAGCTGCCCTCGTTGGCGCGCGCCCGAGAGGCCGCGGGTGGCCGCGGGGGGGGCGGCGGGGCGCGGCGGGGCGCGGCCCGGCGGGGCGGGTGGCTCCCAGGGGGGCTTCGAGCCTGCGGGGCAGTCGGAAGTCCCTGAGGGCCTTCCGAAAAGGAGCCTTCGCGGCGGTCGGCTCGGCAGGGCCAGGCTATGCGCTGGCCTCCCGCGCGTTTCATCGGCGCCCCCGGGGCGGCGCCGTTGCGCGCGCGCGTGGGTCCTCTATTGGGAGTTTTTTCCTGGAATTTTCTTCTCGGGGACCGCCTGTCTCCGGCGCGTTCCTCGGGCGCGCCCTGGGGCTCTGCGGGGGGCCGTCCGGGGAATTGGTTTTCCTGCGGCACCGCTCGCGCGGGCCCGTTGCGGGATTCTACGATGGCCTGGTGGAGTTTTACCAAGACCGCCCGGATGCCTCGCCCCCCCTTCTCGCCCCCCCCTTGCTCGCGCCCTCGACTGCGACGGGCCCGCGGTTGTACCGACGCGCAACCGCGCTCGACGTATATGGGATCCAAGTGATGCGCGCGGGCATTATGGCACGATTTTCTCTGCCCAGTGGCCCGCTCATTTTTGGCCCGAGAATCCAGCGCGATTCAGAAGCCTCAGCCCATTCAGTCGCCCGCTATACACGCTATGCCTGATCCATCCACCTGCCCGCCCTGGTAAACTTCGCCGTTTTCGCTCGATGGCCCTCCAGGCGCGGCGCGCGGGCATGCGGCTGTTGAACCTGCGCCAGCGCGCCTGGGCACGCTCGCAAGCCCAGACGAGGCGCGCGCCACCTTGCCCCACAGGAACGCGGCGTTGCTCGAGATCGTCTGCGGCAATGACTTCGCCGAGTGAGCTGGCGGCGTCAGCGTCGGCGTCTGGGTCGACGTCTGCCACTGGAAATGCCCCTGCGCCAATGGCGCCGCGGTGGCGTCACCGGCGGCTGCCGGTGCAAGCGGGCTCGGCGCCGCCCTCGACGCAGCAGGGCCCGCGCCATCCCGGCCCGATCCAGCCGCGGCGGCGCATGCACCCCAAACCTGATCTCGCGTGGGCGCACCCGCACGGAGGCCTCGCCGTTGGCCGGCGCGGGCCGCCGAGGCGAGGTTGCCTGGCGATCCCTCGATCATGGGCCCGAAACGCCGCGGCTGGTCCGTCGCGCAGCAAAAGAAAGCCGAGGCCCTCGTAGCCGATCATGAGTTGCCCAGCTTGCTGCACCCAGATTCGGATGATGTCGAATCTAGCGAGGTCGTCGATGCGCCCGCGCGGCAGTCGGTTGAATTTCACCGGCGCCGGCGCGGCCGAAGCGCGCGCCTCCTCGCCCAATTGGCCCCGCCGTTCGGCCAAATTGCGCATCGGCATGGTCATCGGTGGCACTGGGTTGCCGTTCATGAGACCTCCCCGGGCCAGGGCAGCCGGCGGCCATTCGTCCGCGCACTCGTGGGCCGTGCCCGTGAGGCGCGACGAGGCGTAGGCCGCCTGGCAGAACTCGCCAAGGTCTGAGTTCACCACTGACAGAATCATCACATCGCGCACCCATCTCTGGAATGGCACCCGAGGTTGCGGCTCGGACCCCCAGGCGCGGAGACGTCGCGCGTTGCTGGAAGGAAAGGCCCCCAGGGAACTAGACGACGTCTTCTCGCGCAACACCTTGTTTGCTTTCGGAAAAAGCAGCGGCGGCCTCCGCCCCATCGCGGTCGGCGCGTGTCTCTGGAGGCTGGCGCTGCGAGCCTTGCTCCGGTGCAAGCGGCAGGAAGCGCAAGAGGCAGTCGGAGGCATGCAGTTCGCGCTCGGACGTGCTGGCGGCGCCAACGCGGCCTTCAAGGCGCTCAGCCTGGCCGCGGCGACTGGAAACTCCCGCGGCGTGCTCAGCCTGGACTTGAAGAACGCCTACGGCACCGTGCGCCAGACGGACGCTCAAGCAGCAGTGCTGGCGCGCACGCCGTGGATGAACCCCTTGACAGACCGCCTGCTCAACGCCACCACTCGGAACTCTTTCGACACCGCCGACGGCGATACGGTATGGATCGAACAGGGCACAGGCGTCCCACAGGGATGCCCTCTTAGCACCTTCCTCTTCTGCGTGACCCTGGCGGGCGTGTTGGAGAACACCCAGGAGAACTCAACCGGCGCGGCCTCGGGACCAGCCTTGTGGCCTACGCGGACGACATATACGTTGTCGGGCCTGCGGCCAACCTGTCGGCCTCGCACGAGGTGCTCGCGCACGGGCTCGCGGGGATCGGGTTGCAGTGCGCGCCGGAGAAAACGAAGGTGTGGCTGGCTTCGCCGGAGGCAGCGCAGACCCTCCCGCAGACGCTACACCAGGCGGTGGTGCCCGGTCTTCCCGTCCTGGGGTGCACTCTCTACCACCACGACCGGGAGGACGATCTGGCGGCAGGCTTCGGCAAATCCGAACAGGGCATGCAGAAAGCGGAGGCCCTGGTGCGCTCCACAGCGGCCACCCTCAAGGACGCCAGGAGCCGCGGTCTTTGCTGCCAGGTGGCGGGCGCCATCCTCCGGTACGTCACAGTCGGGGCGCCGCAGCATCTGATCCGCTCGCGCCTTTGGAGTGAACGGGCACTCGCGGAGTACGACAAGGAGGTCGCAGACGCCTGGGCTGACATGATCGGCGTCCCGTTGACTCCTGAGCAAGTCGCCATCGGCGACCTGCCGCTTCGCGACGGCGGCGCCGCCTTTGGAAGGGCCGCGCCGCGGGCGGCCGCTGCCTTCCACAGGGGTTGGCGCCAGCACCTCTGGCGGCAGAGCGCGGGGGACGCCTTTGGGCAGAGCAGGGCTTGCGCGACGCCTTCACGAGCCTCGCGGCGGAGCTGGAAAGGCGAGAGCCGACTTGACGACCCGGGTTCTGGCGCTCGTTGGCGACCACATGTTGATCTTCACCAAGGAGCCCGCCAAGCGCATGCAGAAGGCGCTCATGGACGCGATCTCTCTCAGAGCGCGCGCGCTTGTCCTCGACGGAGTCCAGGAACCATACCGAGCGCGCCTGAGGCA